CCTCAACACCTTTTCAACAAAGGAGCCGCAGAGAGGCATGGGCTACATGCCCAAGAGAGGCCTGGATGTCAACAAATGTGAAATAGCAAGGTATTCAGACTGTTTTATATATATATATGTATATATATATATATACATATATATAGATAGATATGTTCACTCCTTTTTGCTTCTTTATGTCTAAATGAAGCAAAATCGTAATAGTACTTTTTAAAAAAATTTAAACAATAAAGCAAAATGTAAAGGCAATGAGTCTAAACCCAAATCTGCTCCAGGCTTAAAAGCATTAATAATTTCAATAAATTGTATTCTGTCAGACAAACATATAAACCCAAATTATTACCACCGCGGTTGACAGTTGGTTGGGTTATTTTCATAGAAATGTGGTGTTTGGGTTTACTATAACAAACACCATCATGATTCTGCAAAGGACTTTCTTTTAGACGTCCAGTGGTTTATTCAGATGCAGCTTTACAAACTTAATTCATACTGGAATAATCTGAGGAATTAAATTTTACCAGTCTTCATGTCTGGATAAATATGGAAAATATGAAGCAGAATATGGAAAAGGTTTTGCATTTCCTAATTTTCTTTCATGCTCTCCGTTTGCTTAAACACAAAAGGCAATTTTCTTCAAATGGTTTATAAAGACAAATTTTAATCAAATGTTCTTTTTGTATTACATTTTGTTCCATCCACATCAGCCCTGGAGTTATTAGTATTAAATATATCTGATTGTTTTTCTCTCTTTTTTATGCTTGTTAAAATATTTTTAAAAATATTGTACAAATATTTAATAAGAAATTTTCAGTATATATGTTAAACTGGATTAAGGTTTGAGGACAAAATGAAAAGCTTTTGTCTTTAATGTGGCTGGAGCAGCAGAAATGCAAACTAAAAAGAAAAATCACTCAAAATCTTTATATAGATTTTTCATAAACATACATTTTTGACATATGGACATAGATTTCCTTTTAGACCATTACATCCACTGCTATAATGGGTGAAGCCAAACTCTATTAACTACGATAAATCTCTAGAAGACAAACATTTACAAATTCCCAGTTTACTTTAACAACTTAATTCAAAAACTAAACCCAAAAACACTCAGTCATCAGTCTTTCCTCCAGTTGTGTTTTCTTTCCCAAAGAGGCGGATTAAACTCACCAGTCTGCACTGTTTATGGGTGCGTTTCCATGGCAACACATGGCCAGTTGACCTCTTAAAGAAGGAGAGAGTAATGAGGAAAACATCTTAAAGTTACATTATGAACCAGATAAACCAATTCTTTATGTAGATCAGTATTCACCTAGTGCATGGAAAATGAAAATAAAAGTACTTGTTAGTGAAGGAATGGATCCCGCTCTCCTGGAAATCATAGAGACCAAAAATAAACTTTTTATAAAAAAAGATCTGAATTCAAGATTCCAGATGTATGAAAATGTCAACGTTGCAACATGTTTCTGATCGCGTTGAAGTGGCAGCATAAATCTGGAAAAATATGTAGTTTTGAAATGGAAATATGTAGTAACCCTGCTGGAAATCCCCTTAAAGTCATTTAGAAGCAGTGTTATTGTCATTTTGTCACACACTGTAAATGTTGCTTATGTTATCAATATAAATAATAATAATAATGTTTTTATGCCAAATAAACTTGAAAGTTGTTCTATTCATAACTATATTCATATATTTATTCTCCATTATTATCTACTGACACACTTATAGCTGATATGCTTAACTTTTTAGGTGTGTCAGACCAAAGGACATGTCTGATGTTTGTCTTTGAAAGCATTTCCAAACAGTAATCTGTCCTTCATGTTGTATTTGGAGTCATGGCTTCTTCTTCAGAACCAATCTCCCGGTGGGAAGGCTGGTTCCTTGCTGTTTCATAATAATTCTTAAAACAGAGGGAAACGTCTCCTTCAGCCATGTACCTTCGGAAAAATCTGTCTTCTGATAAAATTTGAGTGCCATTAAAATAACTACTTTGTTTTCTCTTATATTAAACTCTTATCATTTCTCATCCCTTCAGGTTTTATAAATTACATGAGAGAAAATGTGAACCAATCATCATGACAGTCCCGCGGAAGGCAAGTTTGCTTAAAGCCATCATGTTCTGTGAGCTGGTATGCTTTTCCCTTATTGGTGCCTAATAATTTCCCCCTTTTCCCCACGCCGTGCCCCCTCCCAGTCGGATCTGTTCCAGGACGACCTGTACCCGGACACGGCCGGCCCTGATCCCGCCTTGGAGGCAGAGGAATGGTTCGCCGGGAAGAACGGAGGCCCGATCCTGATCTCGCTCAAAGACGGCTACGTCTCCACCAAGAACCGGGACCTGAAGGTGGTCAAGACGAACATCCTGGAGAGCAAGCCAGCCACAAAAGCAGAGAGCATGCCAACCATCCAGAAACATGCTTCTCCGCAATCCACTGTTGTGAGTGTTTGCAGAAAATACAATTTTTATCAACAGTTATTGAATATTGACTGTTGTTGTGAACAGATGGTGTGATGGGATTGCAGGATTTTTCCTTGTTCACGGTCATAATTTTGGAAAATCCAAGAAAATTATGGATCAGTACATAATCTTGTTTCTGGCTCTCAATTTAGCACAGCTGCACGGAAAAATAAAACGCCATTGCCCGTTGGATCACATTTGACTTAAACCGGATGAACAGATGTTATTTTTTTTCTGCTCACGATCCAAATTATTCCTCCCCTGGTTCCAAATATTCAATATTCCTCTTCGTTCTTTGTTTTTTTTCTTTTCCAGAAAATGGAAGACAAACTGGAAGAGGTACTCCGAGAGTTCAAGTCACTCAGGGACCGCGTCATCCTCCAGGACCGCCGGATCGCCCGACTCGAAGATCAGGTCTCCAAGGTTGCCATGTAAGACGCAGAGACCCTTGCCAGGATTGCTGTTTTCTTTCGGAGTCAGCTGCGGCCAGTTTTTAAAGATTCGGCTTCACCGAGCTTGGTTTCCGTCCCATTCCGTTGAAACCAAGCCCACATTCCAAGACGAACTTTTATTTTTGCTCATCGGTCCTCCCGTTTCACACTCTGCCCCGACCCGCTCACAGAGGAGAGGCAGAAACTTTCAAAGCTCATGTTCACATCCGAAGAAAAGACATTTTTGTTAAAGAAAGTCTTAACTGTTTTTATTTTTTAAGATGTGGTGAAGCATTCTCACGTGAAGGTTGTATTTACTGCTCAACAACTGTAGCATCAGTATTTCCATTGTTCTCATTGTGTTGCCAAATATGAATTGTGTGCCGTCTCATGCACTGCTTTTATGTTTTTGTTTTGTTTTTTTTCTCCTCCTGTTGTACATTCCAGTCACAACCTGGTGGAACAGTACAAGTCAAAGCTGGATTATTTTTAAAACAAAATGCTGTCGGACTGTTTTCTTCCCCGCAGTTTCCTCGTTGGCATCGGTCAGAATATGAATGTGGAAGAGATCCTAAAACAATTTTCTCCTGTTCTTCTGGGGCTTTTAAAATTTACCATTGGGGTCCAAACATGGAGGTGGAGGGTGGGTGGGTGTAACATCTTCCTGCTGTAAATGTTGTGAAAATGTTGTGGTGCCTCTTGTCACTGTTAAGGGTCAGACGAAAGTTGCCCTCTCCGGTGCGTATTGGCATTGGGAAGAGACCACTCGCAGCCCGTGTTTTACTGAACCTCTGACAGACAGTTCTGTGCACATAATAAAAAAATTTTACACATTAAAACGCTGCTTCTTTTCCTCTTTATTTAATACAATCTGATCTTATCCGTCAACAATTTTACATTTCCTCTATTTCACTTCTGTTATCAGATAAGCATTTGTAATCTGACTGAAAAATCTGACACATTTCAACTATAAAAACTGTTGTAAAATGTACTATTATGCTTCCTTGAGCAGGTTAGGATAGGTCTATGGTGTATTTGTTTTTTTGTTGTTTTTTTTTTGTCCAAAGTCATTCTCAGATGATGTAATTTCAGTCTGGTCAGTTGTGCCGTTTTTGAGTTCCTTTCACAATGAGGCTTTTAATGCGTCATGTCACTTTAAATCCAAATAAGCTGATGCTGGCCACGCCCACCCGACTCCACGTTTACACTCGCATGGGAAAACAGCTGCAAACATGTGTTTGAAAAACAGAAGTAGAGCCTCCTACACAGTCAACAAGAATGCAGCAAGTAGTTTCTGGATAGACGGTCAACAACAAAATACTTCCAGCAGCCATTGTACAGCACATACAATAAAACCAGCTGACCAAATGTGCTGGACCTCGGTTTTAGCCCCATCGCTAGGTAATAACTGTCTCTCATTATTGTGCCATGTAGCAAATAGGAAGGATTTTCGTAACACTAACTGACCTGAAAAGTTTAGTCAGATTCGATCTTGGTCAGTAAGAAAAGATTATATGGTTTCATGCGCACTCGGTTCTACTTTTCTTTTCCTCTGCTGGCAATTAACATAAGAGCGTGGGTGTACTTAAGAAGCCCATAACTAAAAGCCAAAAAGTGGGTAAAAGGAGAACTTCTGCTATTTGGATTCAGGTGGGTCAACGCAGGAGGAAGAAGCAAGAAAAAGACGAGTAATAAACCATAGGAAGAGGTTGAGTCTGTCTATTTATTTACCAATAAATAAACAGGGCTGGACGTAAACGTTTTTTTTCCCAGCCTTTCCATTACATATGTATCTTTTCGTCACTTCTTCTTGGTAACCCTTAAACAAAAACAGGCTGAGTGTATATGTGCCGTGAACGTTGTGCAAAACCGCATGTCAGTGTGAGTCAGTACAGGAAGTGACAGTTACGGTTTCCACATTAGATGGACGAGTCTGTTTCCACTCGGATCTTCAATGTAGAAGGCCAAGCATGAAATTATGCACCAGTCTCTTACAGTTTGGCCACTGTCACCAGTCATCTGACCGCAGCTTTATCTCAGCATGAAGACTTCTGACTGATAAAAGGGAGTTTCAGTTGACTCCACTGCTTTATTCAGGGGAAAAAAACACACACATACTAAGAAAACAATGATGTCCTCATATGACTGATCCTCAGTCCCTGCGGTTACCTCTCAGTCCCTTGAAATCTCTCATTTGCAGCTTTTCTCTCACATGACCTGCAGCTTTAAATGTGAGGCAGAAATGTGATCAAGGGTTGACATGCGACAAGCATCTGAGTGTTTTACAGAACTGAGCACTTCCTGCTATTTTAAACAAGCCAGTACACTAGACATGCTAAGGACGCTCCGCAGCAACGAATCTGAGCTCTGCTCTGCCTTGCATCTGTCAGGTGAGTCTCATCCCATCTCAGCAGATACAAATTAATATTGGTGGTGGGGTTAAATGAAACGGTCGTTATCTCTTTAAAACTGCAAGTGCTCTTTTTAGTGAATGCGTAAAGATAAGGATTTCAAAAGGAAGTGTCTCATCATATCTAAGTCGTCTAAAAGTGTGATATACCGTCATGTTTTTTTTTTTCTTCGTTTCCTGTTTCTGTCATCAAGCAGAGCAACAGTTGCCATATCAGTGCAACGAGGATGTGCGCAATGAGAGCCTGAAATGAGCTGAGGTGAACATTTTTATTGGATCTAACATCAAATTCGTCCAACACCGAGGTAAGGCATGAGCAGGTGATTCTGGAAACACTTTGTTAAGATAATTTTAAACACCTATTTTACCTGAATGTAATGGAGTTTGTTAGTAAAATGTAATGACATGTTCCTCAACTTCACCTTTTTTTTTTTTTTTTACCACTGTGACACAGTGGCAGTTCTTTAAAAACAGATAACGCTGTTTGAGTGTTTCAAAACACTGATATTTCCTGAAGTTTTTAGTGTTTTTCTGGTGAGAATGAAGCAAAGGGTGTGGTGAAGGAACATGATCGTTTCATTATATGTAAGAAGTTACTGGCATACAAATGTCACATACAGTTTTCCCCTTGTCAACATCGCAGTGGGAAGTTTATACACTCATCATGTGCGTGGATGTATTAATTTTGGGGGGGGTAGGATGCATTTGAGCTGTTTTTATTGCAATGTGTATGATTACACACACATCTTAGCAGTTTTTAGAGGATAAACACTTTCTGAGGCCTTGAACTGGATCTCAGCATCATCTTGTCTGGTTATTTAGCCACTCAGAATTTGTAAACTTCATTTATGTTGGTTCATCTCTTTTTTTATTTAATACTGTTGGGATCTACGTAAATACAGAATCTCGATTGGAACTAGTTTTTCCTGTCAGAATGCCCAATTATGTCCAGATTTCAACCATGTGGCCCAAACTATGAGACTCAGATAATAGATAATCGGTGGAAATCATCAGGACTAATTATGCAGTTAATGAGTCTCAAAGCTATTAGTATCTGGAGGATGCTGCAGCGTCACTGTCCACGGCAACATGAGCTGAGAGAACACAGACCAATAAATGAGTCCGTGCTTCAAAGTCAAAGCTGGATGGAAATTTTCACCTACAATGAAGACAAGAAGAACATGCATCCTGGTGAAAGGTTTCACGGCGAAAAGAACCAAACATTGAGCTTTTTAGTCGTATTACAAGAGGAATGTTTGGACAAGTCAGGCAGAGAGTTTCAAAGCTGAAAACTGTCAAGCATGGCAGTGGCCGCTTCATACTGAGTGTCTGTTTTGCTTTATTGACAAACTGGATTGAGTCATGTTGAAGCAAGACCACCTCCAAATTCCCCAGCCTCGGCTACAGAGGTGGAAGCTAGGCAAGGCTTATCGCTAAAAAATAAGAAACTGAAAATCTATCGTCTATTCTTGATACCAACCTATTCTCCATCTACAAAGCCAGAGTTGTGGCAGGACCTTGACCGCAGTGACAAAAATATTTGTTACTCTGTTTATAAATAGAACATGTCCACATGTCAGCGGTGAGCATACATATATGTAACCCTAGTTTACAGGAAATTCAAGAAAAGCGTACAAATTCACCGTCACTTTATGTCTCTTTAATACAGGCAATGCTTTCAAAATGATTTTTTTTTTCTGTGATTTCAGATCTCATATTCAACAACCATGCCCTCCAACATGAAGATATGTGCTGTGCTGCTGTGGGGAGTGTGTGTGTTGTTTCCTGTGGAGTCGGTGACGAGTTCAGCGCCAGAAAACAGCAACACGAACATCACTGTTCCACCAGACATCACAGCCAACCAGCGGATCACTGCATACGCAAGCACGTTGCAGCCTGCAACCCCGCATCCAGCAAAACCTACAGATGCTGCTGCTCGTGCGACGGAGGCAGCGTCACCCACAGCGGACCATAAGGACGGCGACAGAAACACAAGTAAAAGCGAGAGCAGACGGCTTGGTTTGACTACCGCTGAAGTAGCAGTCAGCCATTCCAAACCTCTCGCCCCCACAGAAAAGGTGACGACCCAGGATGTAGTTCCTGTAAAGACGACAAATGCAACTGCACAGACCTTCCCTGCAGGGCTGACGACAAGCACAAGCAAACCTCCGTCTGTCAGTCAAACAATCACAGCTGGAAGAGAAGAAACTTCTGCTGCAGTGACCACAGCGAGTGGTGGAGCTAAATCTCCCACTGCCAACGTCACTGCTACAAGTAAAGAACAAATTTCCTCGTCAAACACCACAGGCCATGCGCACACTTCTACCGAAGTCGCGTCGACCGGAAGTGGACTACATCCGTCCACCGCCATGACGACAGCTACGAGTGATGTGCAGCCGTCGTACCGTTCAACAACAGCAGAACCAGTAAATCAGACAACAGACCATCTCCCCCACACATCTGCCTCGAGTTTTACTAACACGACTGCTCCTGCAACACATCCTGCGACTACTTCAACCTCATTTGTTTCTACTCAAAATTCAACATCCGTTACTGGATTCAGACCAGAGGTACCTTCCACCACCTCTATGGATAACTCTACTCAAAGCACTTCCACCTCCAGTGGTCCCACAACTTCAGTTCCTACCTCAGGAACCATTAAGTCCACCAGCACCGAGCTCTCATCGAAACCGTCTTCTGTTTCCGGCACCACTGACTTCAAATCTACATCGCCTGGACCAGTTTCCACTTCAACAGATTATTCCAACACCACCGCCAACTCTACCAGCCCAGCTGGGGCTCTTATTCCTCACATCGTTGGGTCAACAACACGCTCGACTCCATCGACTACAAAACCTCCCTGCGAACCATCAAAGGACTCGTCAAGCAGCAAGGTTCCGCCCTGCTCCATCAGGAGCGTGGAGAAGCAGTGCCTCATAGTTATCGCCGTCTTGGCCATTGTGGCCACCGTCTTCATAGTTTCCACCATTGTCCTTTGCATCAAACTGTCAGATAGAAAATACAAAGTTAGGAAACGTCAGCAGGACACGGAGATGATGTGCATCTCCTCTCTGCTGCCTGATAGGAGTCACACCTACACAAGGCAGCGCAATCCGGTGAGCAACGGAGTCCTGGTGTACCCTGCGGGAGGAGACAGCGACGAGGAAATTGGGGATAATCTCACCCTCAGCAGCTTCCTGCCAGAAAACGACCGCTATGTTTAGCTGCTTTGGTGCAGCCTTGTGAGATGGAATGGGTCTGTCTTGGATCAGTGATGCAGAAATCGGATGAGTTGATGTGGCAGACACAAAAACCACAAACACTTACCACTTCATGAAAGCTGGTTCACCCGGATCTGACAAAATTTGATCTGAAGGATGTTGACTTTGAGCAAAACTCGCCATTTTTGCATAACTTTACACACGTTCTCCCCCCTCATGGGAAAATTGAACCCAGGATGCAGAGAACGATCAAAGCTGCTCTCCTTTTTTTTTTTCTTTCAAACATCCGGACCAAAAACTCTTGTGGGATTTCACTTTGCAACAAGAGACAGGAAGCCTTTGCTTTGTCGAGACAGAGCTCTTCTTCGCAGAGACTGCTCAGTTTTTTTTTTTTTTGGAACCTGAAGACTTAACAGTTTAAAATCGGACTTTGTTGAATAGATTTCACCGTTTATCCATGTGTAAAAGCACACCTTTTGAACTGCAATAATTGTTGTTTTAATGTTATATGCACGGCATATAAAAAGTCGACACACCTATTGACATGACAGGTTTTTCGTAACCAATGTTACTTCCAGTTATTACTTAACTGAAAATCAGAAGTATTTTAGAGAGCTTAGAGAGGTGGATTTACAAACTAAAATACTGTGGTTGCACGTCTGAGCACAGACTGGACCCATTCAAAACGTTATTCTTCTTCCAGGAAAGGCATCCCTCCATTTTGAACTGTGATCATTTTCATAAAAACCTGTTGTTTTTATGTGCACCACTCGTAGTTTTAACAGCTTCCTCAACCTGAGTGTTGCATCTCTGCATCTGAATAATGTTCTCCTTTTCTGACTGATCACTTTTGCTAGTTTTGGGATTTGCTACCTGTTTAGTTGCTAACTCCTATTTACAAAATACATCTCTACAATTCGTGCCTTGTAACACAAAAGGGACATTGTAACAAGTAGATACTTTACGGCATTATGTGTCGTTCCTTAAACCAGGGACAAATATGTGAAGTGGCAACAGTTAATGCTAGCAATTTTCACCACAGTCTAAATGCACTCAGTCATGTTGAAAACCAAACTAAAAGTTCCTCACTGAGTTCTGTATTTCCTAGTCGTTTATATTTGCTTTTTTTTTCCAACTACAAACCTGAAAAATCTGACTTCCTAACACAAAGAATGCACAAAATTTGAGTCATCGTCCCAAAGTTTCTTTTCTTCCTCAGCTTTTTACCAGAAACTTGAAGTTTTCTGCTAAAAAGAAACCTTCTCTGGTATTTGGAAACGCTCATAAGTTTTTTTTTCCATTTTGACTAACGCCCCAAGTCCAACTGAAGAGAAACAGGATCAGTTTTCTTATTTTCATCATAACTTTTGATGACGTTTGTCTTCCCTATGCTCCGTTGTGTTTCTCACATTTTGGAGAAAGTTTGTACCTTCTCCTGACTGATACCTTTTTGACACTGTGATCCCTCTGATGCTCATTAAGGTTTCTGCAAACCATTGCTTTCACTGAGATATGATGTAGGAAATGTTAGGCAATGCCCACTAGAAGAGTTTTACTTCATTTGAGGTCCATCAGAGGAACTTTAACTCCAATTTAAAATGAGCGTGTAACAATGAAACCACATTTTAACCTGGGTGTGTAGGCTTTTTATATCCACTATATAATATTCTGCTGAAAATGGCTTTTTCCTTGTAGGGCTGCAGGATTTCTTATTTATTTTTTTTGGCATCTTTGAGAAAAAATTTTGCATAAGTTTTTTGGAAGAAAGCATAAAAAAGTCTAGCATGCTGGTATAGTTGACACTGAAGGGGGCCAAGTTAAGTTTTAGTTGTTTATCTCTAGGAAATTGTAGACTTAAAAAGTATATACATATGTTTTTTATTATTTCTGCAGAACATTTTATGTTTTGTTGTCTCCATTGTGTTCTCTTAACGATACTGTTATTAAAAGCCCAGTCCACTCAGACATAAATAAGGATGTTTTTTTGATACATGTGCTTTCCTCAAAGTTTAATCTGTAATTGATATGTAACACGAGGATAGAGATTAGTACTGTTGAAGTTGTGACTGCAAGAAATTGAGGTTGAATCAAAGTCATTTTGAACTTTTTATACAAAAAAAAATCAAAAATCGCAATTTTGCATGTTGAACTTAGACTTAATATTTATTGTCTTGTCACATGATTGTTTAGAATTGGAAAAATCAGAAATCTCTTTAGGAAGGTAAATGAGAATTGGTCAGATTTACTGAACTTCTGCTCCTTCTTCTCTGCAGCAGAGCTGAGGAAATAGATTAATAATGACACATCTACTCTGTGCGTTTTCTGTAGAAAACAGTGTCTTTCATCATTAAATGTGTAATTTTGGTACTTCTTTTGTAACTTCTCTTTACGGCTCTCTAAATGGCAAACAGTCATAATAAAACTGGATCTTCTCTAAACTCATTCAGTTCCCTTATTCACAAAAGGCTTCACAGACAAACTTTTGCTTCCTACACTGGATTTTAATTTCACATTCACTTCCCTTCTTGTGAAATGATAACAGTTCTCTGACTACCTATTAGCCTCACAATGTCCCTTTTTTACCCCCTTTGTGTCCCATCAAATATGTGAAGCAGGCAACAGCAACTATCAACAAAGCCCAGACCAACGTAAACCTTTCTGACGCCGGACGTCATCTGATGCTCCTCTTGACCATATAAAGCCGGGATTGTCTTCGGCCACAGACAAAGCAGAGTAGTAAAGAGAAAAGCGCCGTCTCCGGCGCAGTCACACTCCCGTCCTAAACTGGCCACACACTCGGCGCGTGCATTGAATCGTTTGCTTGTGGATGAAAAACACCTCATTGTTTGCAATAGTTTCTCCTCCCAGCCTTTTCTCTGGTTGTTGAAGTTGTTTTGTCTCCACAGGAAACATTAACCTCTCCCTGCATTAAGGAGGTCAGTCACACAAGCTGCTCTATGACTACTTCATTTAACCCCAGGTGGTCGTCTGCTACTCATTAGCATCACTTCAAGGCTGCCACATCTGGCCTTCTCGCTGCATAAAGTGTCAGAGCGAGTGGTTGTTACCTGCAAAAGTGTCAATTTCTCTTAAACCTTTTTCACATTTTGTCACATTGCAGCCGAAAGATTCAATGTGTTTTTGTGACATTTCGTGTGATAGACACACATGAAAGAGTACAAAAAACTGTGAGCTGTAGATGTGTTAGGGCAGATCTACACACTAAAATGATCAACCTCAGTTTTGGTCAGAGTGAGTAAAGCATCTGTGAAAATCAGTTTGCTTCCGATTTTTAATTGGATCTGCTTCTGGACTTTGACTGGGCCATTCTAACACGTGAATGTGCTTTAAACCGTTTGATTGGAGGTTGGGCTTAATGGTCAGAGTAACCTCTGACAAAATCTTTTCCAGCTTTTCTTTCTGTATTTAGCTCCATCCATATTCCCATAAACTGAGCAGATTTTCAGTCCCTTCGTGAAGAAAAGCTTCTTCGCAGCATGATGTGTTTCTTTGAAGAGATGTTCTTTCTTTTTTCAGAGAGAACCTGAGATGTTCATTATTGGTCTTCTCTCACATAAAGTTGGTTACACTGGATTTTATGTTGTGGTATCAGGAAAAGTTGGTTAAAACCAAATGCTTTTTGCACTTTTTAGATTTCTCTGTGTAAAGAAAAGCAAAACGTACTTTATTTGTTTCATTCACTCTGCTTCACAATTAATTTTGTATTGATCGACAGCATAAAGCCCCAATAAAATACACAGGATTTCTTTTGGTTTTAATAAGACAAAACGGGATAAAAAGGTTAAAGGCGTTTAAATACCTTCCATGTCCAGTTAGCCACACAAAGAGCAGAGAGGAGGTCCCTGCCCCCACAGCACTTTATAAACTCATACCTAACAAGAACAATCTGTGCGCAGGCCTGGAGAACCCAGACACTGTCGGGGAAACTGGAGGAAGGGGGAGGAGAGCAGAGTCAGAAGGAGGGATCTGCACTCATGGCTAATGACATCTCTCCTGCGCTATCCAGGCAAACCTCCACACTGAAACCTGAAACTTGCAGAGGTTGCACAGTTCCCCAATCAGTCACACGTGCTCTGCTCTGCCTCTAGCTTTGCTTCTTGCAAACTGGTTTCAGTCACCCTTCCACCAGAGGGGATTTCAAGTTGAGAAGCTTCTTCCACACTGAATGGTGAGTGAAATGGAAACGCATTAGAAAGTTTTCTTCTTATTTCGGAAAGCGCAGACAGCATCACGCAGCTCCTGATGCTGTCTGAAGTCAGGAGGCATGACAGCATCAGGATGCTGCCAGACTCAGTTATTTAAACTTCTGGATATATTTTACATCCAGAGCTGATAATTACCTATAAAAGAAGCTGATGGTAAACTTTAATATTCCTTAATTTCTTCGTGTAACTTCTTTTCCTTTGTTTCCATTTGGTCCCCTTTTGCTGGCATGTTTTTTTTTTTTTTGTGTCTGACTGCACAGACATATTTGGGTATTTGGCTCGGGGTGATTCACGAAGTGGAGGGGAAAAAGTTTATTTTCCAGTTGGAAGCTGGGACAGCTTGAGCACAGATGCAGCTGAGATGGATTTAAAAAAAAACAACAGTGAGCCGCTGCCAGTTAACACACAGACAGAGCAGAGAACAGAGAGAAGGCCAAGTCAATAACTACAGCTGGCTTTACAGGGTCAGTTCATGAAATATGCAACAGAGAAAAAAAATCTCCCAAACAAACATTTAAAATTAGGCCAAGTAGATTTATTATATTTTAATCTGTTGTCACTTTCCATGATAGAAGAGAACAATCAGCAAAAATGAACACTTACTGCAGTTTTAAAGGTGGTACTTTTAAGCAAAACTACATTTTATAAGTATAATTTTCATAATGCCTTCATTTGCATTCATTGATTGCTCACTATATTTGTAAATTGATATACTGTATACTAGTCCAGACGAGTCAATTAAAGTAGTTTTGACATGTCATGAAAAAACACAAAAAGTATATGGAGCAGATGAGCAGCAGGGAGAGAAAGTTGTTAATTAACGACTTTCCAAAACCAAAACAGTAAATCAGTAAAACATCTACTAACAGATGTTTTGTGTGCTATTTTTACACTCCCTTCACTAATGTCAACATGTGCTCATGTGTTCAACATCAGGCTTGGTGGGAGTGAAACTTGAGACTGAAGCCAGTTCAGGGTCAAACTAGAGGTCACTAAACTGAGTGACCAAAGTCTGAAGTCTTCTCCTGTCAAGTCAGGTCAGGTTAATGCATTAAAACAAAGTTAATAAAAAATATGTTGATATTAAATGTATGTACATTGCAAATGTTTTCAAAAAGGTTCAAAGAGTAAATATGTGCCACACAAGGCACTGTGTTTCAAGCTTGTAAGTTGATACTGATTTACAAAAAGGCATTTCTGAGTCAGGACAGTCCTTTTTGCAAATGCATAAATCGGGTTTTATTCAGAAAAGATTTCAACTCAGCACGGGCCAGTGTGAGACTCTCATGGTATAACAATGAGTGATAAAAACTGAGTTTTATTAGAAAAAAAAATGAAAACAAACCCATATATTCCTTATATATGCCAGAAAAATGCAACTGGACATTGCTGTAGCCAGCAGCCCACGTTTAGCAGACTGCTCCAAAACTGTAGCTTTACAGCCTCCCTTTGATAAGAACAGTGTTTATTTGCTTTTTTCTTTTCTTTTTTTCTTTTTTTTTTTTTACCAGGACAGTTCATGTTTGTTGTGATAAGAAATGTTTCCAGACAGCTGAATTTGTCTTTCTTGAAACTGATGGAAAATTGCAGCTGCCTTCATTCGGCCTGATGACCAGGACTCTGTCACTCCAGCACTTTCCCCACGATTTCATCAAGAGTAGCAAACTATAGCGATGGGCAACATGGACTTAAAGTTTTATCACATTGTTTTGTGTTACTATGGCGATAACGATAAAAGTGACAATAACAACTTTTTGTTCCTTCTTTTTTTTCGGTAATTATGTGGCTCTGACTGATTCACAGCCCCACAAACACAAATACTGCTCTCGAAAAACATTCCCATTTTGTAAAACGCTTCACTAAACGGCACACAGTAACTGAAATATTTTCAAATGCAATGCAATCTATTGATACTCTCAACAGTGGGAAATATAATAAAGTTAACATTCCAGACAATTCACATAGTTTTGGAGGCATTTAAGCATCAAAAGCCTTGCCTTGTTTAATGTCTCACTATAACTCTATATTGCTCACTAGCCTGCGCCTTTTTTTTTTTTTTTACTGATAACAATAAAATAAAATGTTGACTCTGTCATTCGCATGACAATAAATCTCCGTTTACAATAAGTGATTTATACCTCCGTTTAGCATTAACTGTCTTTCCGTATGGACCTTCGCAGATCCGGAGAGGAAGCCATGCATCCAGGAGCCCTGCGTCCCATCAGCCTGTGTGTGGTGTTTTGCATCAGCAGAAGCCTGGCCACACATTTACCTCTTTACGGTCCCCTAGAGGGAAGTACGGATGAGGAAGAGTTTAGTCTCATAAATTCATCCGTCGTTCCCAGAGTTCATCCAACTGAGTACCAAACCACACCACCACCGGAGCCGTCACGAGAAGGAGGAAACCTCCGCGAGTTCACCAGGTTCCTGGAGGAGAACATGCTCCTCATCCTCGTTTCAAGCACACTCATCTTTCTCACCCTCCTCATTACCTGTGGAGCGTTTTTCATGAGCCGCAGGCTCAAGGTGAACTCCTACCACCCGTGCTCCTTCCCCTCGAAAATGTACGTGGACCATCAGGACAAGACCGGAGGCACCAAGCCCTTCAACGAAGTGCAAGCCAAAGCCGTTCCTGAGCTGGAAATGGAGCCAGTGGACTCCAACAAGCAGCTCCAGGCTGAAATCTTAAGAGCTGCAAGCAGCCTACGAACGCCAAGTAAGTGTCCTCAGGCTGCAGAAAGCAGCGAGACAGCGGCGGACCCCAGTCCTGAGGACGACTTGAAACCAGACCACAGCGTCCCGGAGCAGCAGCTGCCGACTCTGCCTGAGGAGGAGCAGTGTGAGCTGCTTCCCGACAGCAGGGAAGCCGAGGCAGCAGGTTTAGAGTCGGACCATCCAGAGCATCTTCACCCGGGAGACGGGGATTCAGAGGAGCCTCCGACCGGAAGGAGTCTGCGGCCCTCGTCTCTGCACATTCACAATGAAACTGCAACACTGCAGCTGATCGCCGGAGAGAAAACGGCCTTCTAATCAGCCTTAATGAGACAAGCCGAGAACTTATTCACAGGGATCCTCTAGCGACGTTTCATTCTCGCCACTACTGTGTCATTTTGTAAAGAAAACAAGTCTTGTAAGACGTTTTAGCAAAGGACTAAAGCTATGACTGCATGTTGAAGGATCCACAGTGCCTTTTAATTGCATTCATGTACTTGAACTTTTCGCATTTTTTGTGTGTGTTTCAACCACAAACTTCAGTCAACTTCATTGGGACTGAATTTATACATTAACATGAAGAAGAGAGTTCATTTTGAAGCTTTTTTTTTTTCTTTTTTTCAAATTAAAATTAGAAATGTCTGATATCTATTTGTATTCAGTCCTCATTTACCAAGCTAAGAACTTATTCCATGTCGATGCATTTCTCCAGCAGGGACAGATAAGCCGGTCAGAGTCGGTGGGAGGATGGATTGACACAACAACCAGAAGAAAACCTGCTAAATGCTGCAGGATTTGAGACAGTTTCACCTGGTGGTTGCAGCATCATGCTGTGGGAAGAGGGAAACATGGATGGAGAGAAATACAGGACAGTACGATGGAGCAGAATTGAGACGGCCCTAAACGTCCCACTAGAGATGATTGAGATCATATTCCTATCTTAAACTGGCCCAGTCAAAGCCCAGACCTTAATTTCACAATGTGTGGGACTGTTGGTAGTTTTACAGCTGTATTTGTGATGAAAAGTAGAGCTATGCAATATGTTGCAGCAGAATTTCCATTTCAACATCAAATATGCAACACCTGAAACACAAAGGACCACCTGGATGCTATGATGCTACAACCATTCAGGTTGTAAAACCCTGTTTGCTAAAATCCTTCTAGATGATTCTGAGCCTCTGAGTCGACAAGCAGAGGGAGTTTGGAAAGCTTAGGAACAACAGTAAGGACTTTATGATTGTAGAAAATCCTGAGGAATATGTGGGCTAATTATTATCAATAATAATTTTCCCAATATTGTGCAACCCAATTATGAAGTACCATAATGCCTTATTTTATGCTTATAATGAAATTAGTATTGATTTTGAAACCAGGAATCAATTTCTTTCCATAATATTGCACTACTTTGTCAGCCTAGAAATTAAAATCCCAATAAAAAGTATTAACATCTACGGTTGTTATTCTACAAATGAATGAAAAGTTCAAATGGATGAGTATTTTAGAGAATTACTGTTACTTAAAACTGTATATCAGTTTTATAATGCTTGCTTTTTCTCTAAATGTCATATAAAATCAATAAAAATAAACATTTTCTTTGAAACAAGGCATTGAAAAAGTTACATTTTCTGCAGATCTGTCAATAAGCTCCATTAATTATGAGGCCTAAAAAATACAACTGGGCTGAAAACGTAATGATGCAAAACATTTTTATTGCAGGCTTTCGAGGAAGCATTTGTGAATATAATAAATTACACTTTCGACTACTGGACCCCCGTCTTCAGCGCAGATCTTTACCTTAATCCCACCTTTCAAAATAAACACTCCTCCTCAACGCAATCTGAAAACCAAACATAATCTCAAACAGCATAAGGCTCAGCTTTGTACCGCCAACCCAAATAGTACATTGTGCGTTTACGTGACAGGCTAAAACATACGGTAGACAGGGTTAGAGGACCAAAGACTAACACAGAAAGCCTTGTGTAACAGTTCTATAAAGGGTTGACGAGTGTGCGTTTGTCTTAATTACTGCTGGAAAGTGAAACAGAGGTACTGGGCCGCTGCTATTTCACTTCTTCTGAACAAGAAGCAGACGGCATCTGGCTCAAAGCGGGAGAGCTCGGTTCAGTTGCTGGCTCTGACTGCCTCCTGCTGGTCGTCGTGCTGCTTGAGGCGATAATCTGCGAGGGCCGCTTTGATGGCGTCCTCTGCCAGCACTGAGGCACAAACCAGGCGAAGGTCAATTAAACAATGCATGAATGCAGGAGGTTGAACCGAGAGGATGTTGTTAGAGGAAAGAAACACGACATTGTCTTACTGGAGCAGTGCAGCTTAACGGGTGGAAGACGGAGCTCCTTGGCGATGTCGGTGTTTTTAATCTCCAGAGCCTCGTCCAGCTGAAATAGAAACACGAAATTTAAGTAACAACACAACTCGGATTTGTAAGACATCAAATTAGTAGGTTTCCTACTGATTTTTCATTTCAAAATTTTGTACTTTTCTAAAAACTGAAATTTGCAGATTCCTTTTCCATTAGTTTTCTTAAAGTTTTGGAGAGTTGAGAAAACGAAACATTTACCTCTTTGCATTTTGTAAACAGCATTTTATTTTTAAAGCAATCCCAAGTCATCACTTGATTTGTTGGGGGTTGTTTTTATTTTCATTTTAAACTAATTATGTGACTTTGATGATAATAATAGTAATACTTTGTTTGGCATCTAACTGTCCAGAGGGTCTTTCAGTATTTATTTTTTTTACTTATTATTAAGTAGCACATCAGATGGAATGATCCTTTTTAAATGGAAATCAACATAAAAATCACTGGTTTTTAGTCATTTCGATTTTTATTTTTTAGGAAATGACATCTGAAAACAAAACTTTTTCCCATACTTTCTTTTCTTTTGTTTCCTCTTGATACTTATCCAAATTTGGAAAGTTCTGAAACCATTTCTGATACTCTTCAAGACTGCCTGGAAACCATGAAAGTAGAAAAGTGTCAGCTTACGGTTTTGCCTTTCACCCACTCAGTTGCCAGAGAGCTGGAGGCGATGGCAGAGCCGCAGCCGAAGGTCTTGAACCTGGCGTCCACAATCTTCCCCTGGTCATCCACCTCAATCTGTAAATGGAAATATCAATTTTAAACAAAAGGGATTATAAACATAAGTCCATACATTAATGCTCTACACTTTAGAGTACCCCCATGACATTTTAAAAAACCTTCTTTGTTACAAGGAGTCAGCACCTGAAGTTTCATTACGTCTCCACAAGCCGGCGCTCCCACCAAGCCGGTTCCAACTTTCTTGGAGTTCTTGTCCAGTGATCCCACATTTCTTGGGTTTTCATAGTGATCCACCACCTTGAGATGTGTAAAGAAAACGTGAGAGCAATTCCACTGCTGCTTATTCTGTGATCTGATCTCTAATTGTACTTTGTGGTCCCAGAGTGCCACAAAGCATTCTGCCCCAGAATACATGTCTAAAAGTCCTGGATGTTATGTAAATACCAGTTTCCTGGCTTTCTTACATAAGAGACTGAAATACACAGACTTGGATTGGATCAGATTTATCCACAAAACCGTCATTTGTCCCCCTTCACCCGTCCCTCCCTCCTACTTTTCGTTTCAGCTGAGTCACTCTGACCGACAACGTGTGAGGTCAGAGGGTCATCTCAATGCTCAAGTGGTTCTAATATGTTGAAAGAATTTACTTTATACTATTTTTGATGTATTTCTTCACATATCAGCGATGTAGAGTTTTATGGCAACATTTAAACAGAGTCTCATCGACTGATTGCACAAAGTCACAACACCTTTAATTGGATTAATGTGACTGATTATTGAAATAATTGTCAACCAATTAAGTAATCAATTAATCATTAACTGGAGTAAACAAACTCAAAAATGTGCTTTTTATTTATTTTTATTTAAAGAGGAAATTTAATTATTTGTTTATTTGCAACTTTTTAAGTATTTCTTATAAAAAAAGACAAAAATGGTTAAATTAAAAATTTGTAGAATGTGCCATTTTTTATACAATCAATTAATTATCAGAACAATCAATAGATTAGTCGATTACTAAAATAGTTGCACCCCTAGTTATTTCCCCAATATATTCCAGTAAACTATATTATATAAACAACCAGAGATCACAAGTGAAACAAAACTCTTATATTTTTAATGCCTTTCTAATTCTGACTGACACATGGCCACTTTAATTTGCAAAACTGATAAAGTAAAAATCTGAATATTGTTGCTGTTATGTAAATGAAACACAAGCAGTTACACTGACATTCAGCTGTTTCTAGCACACGGCGGACACTTAAGCATATTAATAGGATCTAATTATATTTAAAACTGCGGGCAGCTGGTTGGAGGATCAGTGACCTGGTTCTAGTTTTAAACTTGCCAACTAGATACTGTAAAACAATGAATAATGTATATTTCTCAGTGTCCTTCCCTGCTATGTAGCATGGTATTTATAACTCTGTTAAACACGCCTCCTGCTGCTCTGATGTAACAAAGGACATTTATCAGCAACATATGTAAGCTTCTTTCCTCTGGTTATCCCCGAGTTTCTAACAACCTTTAAGTAATTTTCTGAGCAAAAAAAAAAGTTCCACAATTGCACCGTTCTTTCTTTAGCAACACATCTATACCTAAACGTAAGAGTAAACATATCGTAAACATTATCCTGACAGATTCGAGGACAGCAATGGCGCTGTTTACCTTCTTATGGTAGCAGCACTGAGTGATGAACTCAGGAGCTGAGAGCCTCCGAGTGAGCAAAGACAGAGGACTGAGACACTTCTTCGCCACATAGCCCGCCATGTTGACCTAATGGCGCAGTTAACGTTACCGGACAGAAGACCGAGCAGCACCGAGGTAGAGCGGGGAGGACTTATCCAAACTGCGCATGCTCAGTTAATGTAACTCAGCCGGAGCATATATACGGAGTCCTGTAGGTGCCAATTTTTACAGAAACAAAGTACTGCCATTACATACGACGAAGTATTACGGCCATATCAAGAAAAAAATAAATAAATAAAAAATACGAGAATAAAATCATAAAATTGTATAAGAATAAAATCGAAATAATACGAGAATACAGTCATAACTTTTTTCTCGTAATATTATGATTATATTTTTAGAATTTTATTATTCTTATTGTTGTTATTATCTTTATTTTATTAGTGTGGCCACAATACTCTGTTGTAATAGGGTCATAGGAAAAATAATTATATGGGGGTTTTCTAAAGTTTTAAAAATGTAAAACAGATTATTAAATCCAAGATAAATACCTTCTAAGACACTGTTGTAAAACTCACAAGTTTAGCTACTCTTCAGCTGCAAAAAAAAAAAAAACACACACACACACAAACAAATACAAGGAAAAACAAAACTGACAAAAAGTCACAAAGTTTCTAATCAAAACAAGTGTTACTCCAAAAGTGGTATTCGCAAGCTGGAAATCCAGTATAATTTCTAAGTGTGTATCAGTATTTCTGTATTTTATGCATTCCAACATTCAACTCAAATTAAAAGAGGAAATGTTCCCGAGAAGTGGTTTTGTGTTGTTCTTGGCTAATCCCTTTATGATAGAAACTCTCAGAAGGTGCAGTTTTGTGACTTTTTTTTCCATTATAGATTTGTTCTGTTTAATCTTTTTTTAATGATTGAGCTTATCAAACAAAATTTCAGACAAAGACAGTATTGTAATTGTCATGAGAGAACTGGTGTGCTCATGGAACCTGACATGTTAGCATTTTTGGATGACAGTGAGGAGGGTAAATAAAAACAGTTTTCAAATGCAATCTTTTGTCTTAAAAAAGATCCCAACCAACATGGTAAAATATGAAAATACAATTACCCCGCTTATTTCCTATCCACACCCTTTCTACCAGATCTGTGGAGAAATTGCTTGAATAGAACTTGCATTACAACATGAACTTCAACATGAGAAACAAATTCATTTACATATATCGATCAGTAAAGAGCAGCAAAGATATTTCTATGACTAGTGAACCACAGTAAAAGTCATTAGCTAAAATTCGCTTGGTTATGCTCTAAAGCCCAGCTGCAATTGCACTGCAGAATGAATGCAAAAAATTTGGTTTTGGAGCAACTTAATCAGATTGAGATGCTGTGGTTTTCAACACTAAACAGTTCATTAATCTTGAAAACCCTGCAAATGAGGTTGAATAAAGCAATCCTCTATAGAAGAACACATAGCAATGTAAAACACTCGCTGTCTGATCAAATACTTGATACCAGTAGTTGTCACGTGGTGCAAGTAGTTTTTCTGTTCACTGGGTGATTTCTTTTTCCAATAGACCCAGGTTGGTTTGGTTAGTTTCTTTGCTTTTGGTGTTACATTTTTGGTCATACTTGTCTTGATCACATTTTCTCTAGACTGGACATTATTAGGACTTTTTCTTCCCCATTTTTATTAAGATACTACTTGACATATGCTCTTATTATACTGTGAAATCAGCATTTCTGTGATGACCTGACCAGAAACCAGTTGCGCCCCATTCTGTTTATTCCTCTTTTTGCAAAGATATCAAACCTATAACATTCTGTCTGCAGTCACTCTTGTTTGACTCAGTTTAGGATAACACCAACGTTAGTCTTGACTCTCCCTCCAGGGCCAACCTGAGAGTCTTGCAGGAGTCTTAGGACCCCTGCTGGCCTGGGACCCTGAGAGAGCTCAACCAATTACATCAACTGCAAAACTTTGAGAAATGGTGGGCTTCAGTAAAGATAAATAAACTGCGGTGTTCTCAGGATGCATACAACAAATACATTGTCAGGTTGAGGAAGTGGCCAAGACCAACAAGTCTTAATTTCCATAGAGGGAGGAACTGATAAAATCACAGGAACAGAGTTACAGAGGTTGAGGTTTACCACGTCAAACAAGATCCAGGACAAGGGTAATGCAGTGATGTCCCTGAAACAATCAAAAACATAAAACCAGGCCGTAGCATACTGGCAGGCAAAGCTTACATGGAACACCAGAGCCAAGCAGATGAAATAGTGGACAACAATGTGGGACAGACCAGCAAGAGTGTTTAAGAATAATAAGGCTAAGATTGTGTGGGACGTGCGAATCCAGACTGACAATCGGGTATTGTGAATTTAGACGAAATAGAAAAGAGAACAGCCATGGCATATATCGCAATCCCAAGCAACATCAGGAAGAAGGAACATAGGAAGCTTGAGAAATACCAAAGGGTCAAAGAGGAAATAGAGAAGTAGTGGGGGGGTCGGGGTTTGAGTGGTGACATTGGTCATCAGAAAGTAAACAAAATTAAAAACCATGTGTTTAACAGTTTTTATTTTACAAAATAGTTTTTGTAAAAACAAAAAAAAAACAATCAAAACCAGGTGTCTTTTCCCTTCTTCTTATCAACTACTTGATTCACTGCAATAATTTGTCTCAGAAACTTCCTAATGTGTAGTGGTATCACAAAATGTTAAAATGTTTGTGTGTGTTAAACTTTTATTAGGCACTGAAATGAAACTGCGTTCTGATGTTTATCATTCTGACCGGGCATCAAACCTTTTCTCACAACAGTTGAACTACTAGTTTCTTGCAATCTTGAATCTGTTAAGCAACACGCTCAGAGAAAGAGAAGTGAGAAGTTATATTCAGCACAGAGAACTACGGAAGGGAGATGATAAGGTCTGTTTTTACATCCACACAAGAAGTAAGTATTTAGCTTTATCTACTTTATGTTACACTTTGGATTGCAGTTGTTGTTTATTTTCACTATTGTCTGTATGACTATGTTTATGAGGAATGTCATTTATTTTTATTTTTATTTTATTTTATTTTTTAGAAAAAACTAACAATGGAGGTGGATTACGTTGAATACGATGATTACACTCCAAACAATGAAACTACAAACCTCCTGCAACAATCAGACAACTCTCAGTCCTCTCTGACTCTTGTTATTGCCGTGGTCAACATCTTCATATCGTTTCTTGGTCTGATAGGGAATGCTTTGGTGGTGTGGATCTGTGGGTGTAAAATGAAAAGAACGGTCATCACCACCTGTTACATCAGCCTGGCTCTTTCAGGCTTGTTTGTTTGTATCTTTTTGCCCTTTAACATTTTTTATTTGCTGACCTCAAACTGGCCTTTTGGGCAGGTTTTGTGCAAGTTCACCTCCTCTGCTTTGTTTCTCAACATGTACAGTAGTGTGTTTCTGTTGGTCATAATCAGCGCTGACCGTTGTGTCCTTGTTTTGTTTCCTGTGTGGGCAAACAACCACCGAACGGTGCACAAAGCATACGGAGCCGTCGCCGTGATGTGGCTTCTCGCTGGACTACTAACACTTCCTGCGGCAATTTTTAGAACCACCGCAGTCCAAGAATCCATCACCAAGTGCCAGTTGAATTACACCTCCATTTTCACATACAAGGCTGTGGTACTGGGTCGGTTCTTCTGTGGATTTCTTGTTCCTTTCTTGATTATTGTACTCAGCTGCGTGGTGATCGGTGTGAAGCTGAGAGCCTCAACCGTTCGATCCAAAAGGCCTTATAAAATCATGGTGGCACTCATCCTGTCGTTTTTCTTCTGCTGGGTCCCCTACCATACTTTTGCCCTCATGGAAATGAACCTTAAGAAACACAGGCTAGATGTTATTGAGGCTGGAATAAAAGTGGGGAACACCCTGGCAGCAGCTAATGCCTTCATATCCCCCATTCTCTACGTGTTCATCGGCAATGACTTCAAGCGAACTCTGAAGCGCTCTGTGATGTCAAGGTTTGAGGAGGCGATGGCTGAGGATATCCGCACGACTGGGTTCAATCACTCAAGATCCAAATCAATGGAAATAATTCAAACTCACACTATTTCCTAAAAAAAACAACAAAAAAAAACATATTGTATCTTGATCTTCTTTAAGTTGATTTAAATCTTTAGCTGTGAAAAACACAAAACATGTATTTTTTATTTAAACTTTTTGATGGCTTTTAATTATTTTTGCTATCCTTTGTAACTGAAACAAATGCTGTGGTTGTAACTAAATGAATTATCTACAATAAACTGTTGTTCTATGCACTAAAAAGTAAGTATTTTATTAAAATTCAATGTGCATTCTATATATTTAAATTGTTTGCTCACATACAAAAAAAAATGAACAGTCTCATGGTTGTTTTACTGAGACAAACCAAAATATACAAAGAACATACTGAATAAACACTCAAAATTTGTATGTTATTTAATAGTGAAAATATTTTATTCTCCGAACAAAACGTGACTTAACTTGGTTGAAAAAGTTTTATTGGTAAGGGTAATTTTGTGTAGTTAATCACCATAATTTCCCTAGGTGGATGCCAATTTCCACTGCTCCTAAACCCATGGTGTTATTACTGAAAGTTTTACTTCAAAAAATATCAAATATACTACTAAAACAATTCAGCATTTGCTCACTAGCTTGCTTTAGACCAAAGTGTAGCAGAATAATAGAATGTTAAATCCATCAAATGTGAACAATATAAAAGAGATGATAGTGCTGCTGTGTGATTAGTAGTTATAATGCATAATAATGTTCCCCAAATCGAATTAAGCTTAGTGCCTCAGACAAATGAAAATTATTATGAGGAGTAAGAATCATATCTCCAACTCCAGTGGCCCGGCTTTCAATCATACAGTCAGTCATAGGTTTAAAGAGACAAATTGGGTCAATAAGTAGTACTTGCCAACCACTGATTGTGTCATCCAGTACACATTACTGTGAAATTTTATCTCTGCTGCTCAGATATTGAACTGTTACCATGTCATGACTGTCAAACAGCAAGAGCCTTAAATCAGAAGCTTCTTGAGATTCGTTGCAAGACTGACCTCTACTGGAGTACTTCCTGCTCACAGGACAACTCTATGAAGATATTTGGAGGCTATAAGATTCCTTTCGGTGTAAATAAAGTTGTTGTTGTTGTTGTTGTTGTTGTTGTTGTTGTTGTTGTTTTTGTTGTTTTTTAATGAGCTGAACTGAATTAGGTATGTATTTAAAATTTTAGGTTCTTAGAAGTGAGATTGTTAAATGGTAAAAACGAAAAAAAGTACAGATTTGAAAGTAATATCCATTTGATTACAGACCATCACATATTATCAATAGATTACAGTAAACAGATTAGTAAAAGTAAAATTGATGGTGTTAGAGAAAGTCTAGCTCAACACGCCCCCAACGTTCCCCCAAAGGAAGCTACCAGATTAACTTGCGGATGTGATGCAATCAGCTGTGAGTTTTGTCCCCTAGTAGTTACAGCGCCTTACGATTTTCAGCTACTACCTGGTATTTTACAAACAGCTTAACTGAATTGGAATTTAGCTTCGTTAATGTTTACATTTTACTTTCAGTTTTTCTATTAAACAGTCCGTACAGCTGTCCTTCTCGCTTGCTAACGTTAGCGTAGCTTCCGTTTCCAGATGGACGCCAGCTGAGCTGAGCTAGCAGCTGGTGATTTTCTTTTTGTTTTTGTTTTTTATCCCTCCTCCCCGTTCACTTTTCTGCTGCTTGTCAGCGACCACCAATTCAGTCGGACTCCCCTATGTGTCTACTTCGGGGGCTGGCAGAGAAAGTTCAGTTGCAGTAGATAAATGGCCGCCGCTGCCCCCTCTGCTCCTCCTCCGGCAGCAGCCTCTGGTTCTGCTGCGGCCGCTGCTGAAACCTCCAGTCCGGGAGGATCCAGCAGCTCGACCGCTGCCGACGGCGGCAGCCAGGACAGCACTTTTGAATGTAACATCTGTCTGGACACCGCCAAGGATGCCGTGATCAGCTTATGCGGACATCTTTTCTGGTGAGATTCAACTGGGATTTTTGTGTATCGTTAGAATCAGAGCAGAGTATCAACATGCTGGACTGCTTTTAGTTAGAATCTAATAGAATCAAAAATTTTGAAGTTAAACAATTTCAGACATGCAGATAGTATTTAACTTTAGTTGTAAAAAAAATTATTTACAAAAATGCAATTTAGGATTGTTTTTTTTTTACACTCTCTATAGGAGAATATACCACTAACTAAATAACATATTTTTGGAATTTTCATCCTAATAAAATCATACATGATTATATTTACTTCCAATTGAATGTGGCTACAAAGAGCTATTTTTAAATAAAAACAGTAAAGCTTAAGCTAAATCCAGTGTATTTTGTCTCATAATGTTTTTTTATGTCAATGTCACATTTATTTGTGTAGCACATTTAAGTTTTTCAAAATGTTCACCAACCCCCATGACATAAAACAAAGAATAAAACAATGAAAATAAAAACTCTGAGGTGTTAAACGGCACACAGAACACAAGTTGATTACTATAGTTGAATTATCCTGATGAACCAGTAAATCTGTTAAAAAATAATAATAATTCTAAAGTTAAGTTGCAAACATTGCTACAAAAATATCCGTTATATGTAGTTGAGAAGCAAATTATTATTTTGCTTTTGTAGAACAAAAACAATTGACTAAAATGTATAACGTTATTTTGTGGTGGAACTCTACAACTTAAACTCATCAGTCTTTAGTAATGACAGCATTATCAGTTTTATGCCGCAGTTAGTTAAATTAAAAAATGTCTGCCTCCGATTGCTTTGTTTGAATTTTATTTAGCATTTTTCAGTCAAACTCTTTGATCAAACTCTTTCCTTTTCTGTGCTCTTTGTAGCTGGCCTTGTTTGCATCAGGTAAGCTGGATCTTATTTATCCCCTTCCAAAAAAAAAAAAAATTCCGCAAACTTTACAAAATAAGTTGTTAGCTCAATAGCATCACTTCTTGCTCATGCAGTGGCTGGAAACTCGACCTAACAGACAAGTGTGTCCAGTTTGCAAAGCTGGCATCAGCAGAGAAAAAGTGATTCCTTTATATGGAAGAGGAAGCACTGGACAACAAGATCCCAGGTGGGTGCTGTAACCTGTTGACACAGATGTAGCGAAGACTAAAACTTGATATATTTTTTTTTGTTATAATACACATTATGACACTCGGAGGTTAAAAATGTCACATTAAGTTTCTGTAAGGCTCTGTCACATCAGATTAAGACTGCAGGACACAGAGCAACTGGATGTTGTAGGGCAGTCTTAATCTGGTGGGATTAAATAAGCAATTTTCAGAAATTTAACTGTATATTTTCTTCCAAAC